AGTCCTATATACATGAGTGGGAGATGGACCTATAGGATCATTTCTCATATATATATATATATACATATATATTATTTTTCCATCTTTTGGATTATTTCTAAAATATCGCTCGATTTTTCAAATTCTATTTTTCCACTATTTTTTTTATTTTGTTCAATTATATTTTAAACATACTTTCCATATATTTTTTTGATATTTTTTATATTTTTTTAAAAATTTTAGCTCTGCCAAGACCTGCTCGATTAGGGCCAATTGCCCAGGCGGGTTCCAGGTTACCCAGCCCATGGCTGGGTTCCATTCCCGGTTAATGTTTTCTAACACTGATCGCAACTTTTATTATATTTCAATTTCCAAACAAACTACTGACTTTTCCAAATTGAAAGAGGAGGACCACATTTGCCATCGCCACATTCTCAAAGCTGTGAGTCAAATGTTAAAGAGACAAAGATGTGGCCCAAGAATAATACGTTCCCAGGATGCTATTAGGAGATCTTGTGCATTTATTTTTTAATCACATTTATCATTTTCCTTCTCTGAAGGTTAGTTCAACTGAACTTCCTATCTAATTTTAGCCTTTACCACATCAACCATAGAAATCATCATCATCATATCCTTTTTTCTAATTATCTAGAATCGGCTCATGAGCCATAGAAATCATTTTTCAATTATTTGTGTGAACGCTTTATTTTCCATTTTGAGGATGCTTTGACAATCCTCCTAAAGGTCATACCTCTCCTATCCTGTTTCATGTTGCTGCAATATTCCTCTTGGGGTAGTGAACCTGAAAATAACTTGAGGTGGTGATAAATTATGTAAGGAAAAGTTTATATAGAGCCGAGGCTCTAAACAACTAAATTTGAGCCTACATCAAAACTTTCACTACAAGATATTGTTTTGATGCTCAAATATCCTGAAATTGATCATCTTGACATCAAGATGCATGGGCATGAGAAAAGAATAGATTTCAAGTTTGGCAAATAGTGTATTTTGTAACGCATTTTTGAACCATCAATTTTCAAGATTTTCAAGTTTTCATAGATATGTCGATCTACACTATTTTTGAAGCTTTACACCTTATAAATAAAGATGAAAATATATTTTAAGACTCACAAAGATTTCCAATATTGAAACCGCATTTCTTGATACTATTTGAAAGTACGCTCTAATTTGATTGTTTAGAGCCTAGGCTCTATACAAACTGCACCCATTATATAAAGCACATTGTCCCCGGACTTACTAACCCAATTAGTAAAGGATTTGCACAATTAGGAAAGGATTTGCACCAGAACAAGAGATGACAATAGTCCCAAGGACTGTGTAACTTCCGATCACCCCGAATTTGTAGACAGGAGGTCGAGGGTCGGACCCTTGAAGTTTGTTCCATACCATCCCTGAGTTTTATCGGTACCTGATTTGTTTGAGGAAGGATTAAGGGAAGTTCTGTCCTCATGAAAACCAGGCTAAAGTACATACCGGCAGAAGTTCATCTAGAATCCTGGTTTGGGCTCGACTAATATATCATACATAGGCCCCAGCAGAGCTTCAACTTTGTTCTAAGCTTCGATAGTTGTATACTACTCGTCTGATGCGAGTTGGACGGTGAGGTCTCTCGAGATCAAGCCACTTCCTGGTCGAGTACCTCACCGACATTTTGGAGACGTTTGAACTTCATCATGGTAAAGGATTTCCCAGGTGAAAGGTCCATCAATGGAAAAAGACTTTCCTACCAAAATATGCACGATAGTGCTTCCCCTCAAAACTGCACTGACAAGGTGCTTTTGGGGTTCCACTTTTTCCTGGTGCTCCCTGGTTTCCCATGAAACAAACATGTAGAAAGTAAGACGATTACTCATATTTTTCTTCTCTTCTTCCACTTAAGAGAACAAAGAAGTAGTGCTACATGAAGTGGCTTAAGGGACCTAACCCGAAGAAGATGGAAAGAAAAAAAAAAAAATCCAAGGGAAAAGTTAAATCTTGAGAAGGGACGAGATGATTGAACCATAAGTGAGTGAAGTGAATTGCAAACGTGAACAAGGAAGGCAGGAAACGGTACGAGAGCCCTCTCTCTCTCTCTCTTCCACTGCATCCATGAAGTGCAAAAATACTTGCCGATCATTTGCCGAGCTAGGGTTTCACTGACGCAGCAGTTGCAGAGCTTGGTTTAGAAAGAAGCGTTTCGTTTACAGAGAGAAAAGGGTAGGTTTGGCAAAGAAAAACCTGGCTCTTACTTGGCCCACAACGACTCAGCAGCTGGTGCCTGGATCACAAAAGCTTTCATCTCTTGGAGGTTTCTTCTCGATCAGGCTTCTTCAGAGATCTTCGCCGTTGTCTCTCAAGGCCCTTCTACCCTACTCCCATCCTTCGGCTTCTTTCCCCCTAATGTAACATCATCTTCTAGTCTCTCTCCTCCGATTTTTTCTATTATTTCAGGGTCTATTTCCTCTTCTGGCCCACTCCCCCTGTCTTCCCCTTTTCTCTCCCCTCTTTTCCTCTCATTTGCAGCTAGTCCGTAAGGGATAACTACCATAGGATGAGGGACAAATGATGTCTCAGCTACGTCCTCTCAACATCTCTTGGCTTGGTAGTTCATCACTACTCAGTTTGGTAGGTTGGAGGCATTCCAGCTCCCGAGGACTAGTCGTGGACTTAGCAATCTCCTTCCACCCCTTTCTTTCCCGGCCCTGAAGCATGTACCCACTCAGCTTTGACAGCCGAATTCTTTCCAACTCCTGACAACTACTCGAGGACCCAGAATCCTCCTGCATCTTACTTTCTTTAGTCCCTAACCCCCTTCTTAATAGGTATCTTCTTTTTTGTATTCCATCTTACCCTTTAAGCCTCCCTTCTCCCTTCTCCTTATGTACTTGGTGCACCAGTTTATAGGGTCACACCTTTTTCTCCTCTTTTTTTGAGTTCTTTCAGTTATTTACTCTCTCTTCTTCTCCCCCTTTACTCTGAGCAACCATCTTGTGGGTATCGATTGGCCACATCTTGTGGATCTTGTGGGTATCGATTGGCCACATCTTGTGGGTACCGATTGGCCACATAGGAAAAGTCAGAAAGGATTGAACCAATGTCGGGTTCCCACTTCTAGACATGGACATGATCGGCCAAGTTGGGAAAGAGATACTCAGAACCATGTCAGGTTCATCCAGCATCACTGGGTTGAGCTGACCCACTAAGCACCCTTGCAAGCCACCCGCCACACACTTATAAGCCACTCACTACTGATGGCCTTGGGTTCCTTCAAGAACTTATGTCAAATTGACTTGTAAACATCCATGAGGTAATTTATTCATTAAAAAAAAAAAAAGCATCCACAACATCCATGGTACCAGATAGCCAGAAGCCTAACTTAATATACAAAGATGACCTACCAACATCCATTTATGAATCTAAATCGTAGGCTCTAAAGAGAGATTTCTTTTATACCAAGACCTGCATGGAATGGAATGTGCACTGCATCATTTTGCCTCCTGGTGAACCGTGTTTGTAAGTGGGGTCAGCAACATCGAGGCAAATGCTTCTCTCAAACTACCACTTTATTTTCTGATTGCCAGTTTTTAAAACCCAGGATTCGGATCACGACACACTAGGGTCCTGAGCCCGAGTGACCCAGTTTGTCTTGGGCGAGTCTCACAAGACTATAAAATAATAACAAGCCTGCCCAAAATAAGATAAGAAGGTGAGTCCCAAGGTCCTGGCTCGGGCCTTCCAGGGCCCTAACCTGAGCAGACTCAAGTGAGACCCAAGTCAGCTCAGCAAGTTTTGAAATACCAACGAATCTTTCAATGAATAGGTATCTTCTTTTCCTGATGAATCTTCCTTTGAATACATTGAATAGATACAGAAAAGAGGCAAAAAAAGACAAGACCCAAGGGAGGGCATGAACATGATGAGCCAAATTGAACATTTTCTCATCGAGTCATGGGCAGCACTCATGCTCTGCAATTAAATAAGGAAAAACATAGTAGAAGCTCAGGAAAGATTATTATAGTTATAGTAGGCAGCAAAAACAGCAATTGGGTTCCAAATCTCAACTGAGAACATCCAAGGTGCATTCCCAAAATTCAAGCTAAAAGACAAATCTTTCAAGTAACTTTTCCAAAGAAGAAGTCCAAAGTTGCAGTCCAATGATGCTTGAGTGGACAGAAATGGAGCTGTCTTTGCTATTGAAACTGCAGGAAGCTTTCAGTTATGGTTCTCTGATAATTGATGTTAGAAATAAGCTTCACTAAGTTCCTAAACATGGGGCAGATAATTTCTTTTGATACTTAATTTGGGAAATATTTTCAGCCAAGACACAGTGTCCCTGGTACCAGAAGAAGGATTCGTAGGGTTCTAATGAACATAGAAAAATGATAATAAATATTTAGTATCAACAAGAAGATGGCAGCGTAGCATAACATAAGATCATACTCTGTAACATCATATCAAAAAGAATAGCCATGTTCACAATGCACAGAAGCATCAAACAATCACTCAAAGCACAGAAGCATCAAACAATCACTCACTGTATTTATTATTAAATAAAACCGAACACTTTCAACAACTGATCATACAAACTGTGAACAATGTACGAAGAGATGAACATAAACACGTCCCATCAACATGACCACTTCCCTACTTATTCCCCACCCGAAAACAAACAACAGCACACAAGTATAATAACATCTAAATAATCAAACCACACGCGCCCAAAATTTAGACCGCTGAGATTTCGAACCCCAACAAATCATCTCTCAAACTTACAGTGGTTGCGAAGGTCTCACTTGTTTTGTATCAGGGAGCGACTGAGAAGAAGCCTCCACATTGGCAGCTTGGTACACTGGAGGAGGATTCATGGTCAATGGGGTTTGTGTATAGAACACCTGAGCTTGCGCTGGATCACCCAATTCATAGCCAAAATGAGCACCAGAGGAGGCTTGGGTAGGATGTAGAAAATGTTGGTAATTCGTGAATTGAGGTTGAAGTGGGAGAGACTCTGTCATCTGAACAAGCGGGGCAGAGGGAACTGCTTGTGCAGTTGATGTTCGATACATAGTTGCAGCAGTTACAGGGGGGGCTTCTGGCTTAATTGGGGCTCGAGGATTGGCCATAGAAGTAGTGGGAAGCGGAGGCTTAGTGGTCAGATCAGCCATGGCCATTGGGGACTTGCTGGATGACGAAATTTGAGCATCGACCAAATTGGGCTGTTGCTGTTGTTGCAATGAGGCCAAGTTATATGGGAACTGGTTAGGCCTCACAGGCTGAGAGTGAAGGAAATACACAGGGTATGGTGGCTGGCTCTCCGGCTGTTGAGGCTGAGCTTGAAGATGGGGGTGAAGGTGATGAACCTGGTAATAGGAATTTGGGCTGGGATGGTGTATAAATTGGGGAGGTGCATGCATGAATTGTTGCTCAGGTTGGAGAACGAAACCAGAGGGATGATATTGAACCTGGGTTTTGTAAATGGAGTCAGGAATCACCGCCTCTCGTTTCATCGAATCAGCAGCGGTGGAATCAGGGGTTGGAGCAGGAATGGCTCGAATCGGGATCGAACCCATATGTGCAGGAGGATTCTGCTCCTGGTAAACCACCGGCTTTGAATAAGCCGAAGCAGGAGGACCAAGGTTGTGATCCTTATAGAAGTAAGGAATTGAAGGGTCTCTGAGATCATGTTTTTGGAAACCTCCTTCATCTGATTCCAAAAGCACATGAGAAGCTGGGATCGAATAACCAGAGGGCTCGTATCTTGGCTGAGCTGCTTCCTGGAAATCTGAGGGTTTTGATGGAGGAACCTGCTGAAAGGGTTGTTTCTTTGTGTTGATATCCTCATCGGATGCGATCTTGTTGGTGGCAGAGACTGGGCTCTCCTTGAAGTTTTCATCAGTCTTTTGCGAGATACCCAACTGTGCGAAATGATCTTCGAAGCTCGTCTGCTGCGCTGCAGGCGGCAGGGTCATGGGGCTCTCCTCGGCGCGGATGCGAATCGGTGGCAGGTTTGAGAGGTAAGGAGCAGACGATGCAGACCCGAATGACGACGTGGTCTCGAGCATCGGTGAGTCCGGCACTGAGTGCACCTCCTGAGTTGCCACCCCGCCACTTCCAGCAGCCGGTGAGACTTCCGACTGCGCAGCAGATGGCGCAGCAGATGGGGGTTTCTCTGGGGGCCACGAGAAGCCATCGCCAGAATTGACACCACCAAGGAGGTGATCAACAGTGGCGGCATCAGCTGAGTGGCCCCTAGGGGCGAGGCCAGAGCCATTGAGAGCATCGACAAACCACAAATCAGCTTTTGAGTCTTCAAGCAATGATCCCAATGAAGCGGCGGTGTCAGGGGGGCGAGTGGGAAAGAGGAAGAGGCGAAGGCGGGCAGGCCGGAGGCAGCGGTCGAACTCGTCGACCATGTTCTCCAGGTCCTCATCGGTGGTGACGGACACCAGTGAGTCCAGGTCCTCGTTGGGTAGCTGGTATTTGAGGGTGAAGGGTCGGCCATTCAGAAGCAACCGCGAGAGCCTCGACGACAGCTCCACCAAAGTGGTGTGGCGGTCAACAACGACGATGCGGGTGTCCCCGCCAAGGTAGCAAAGTGCCTTGTCGTGAGGTCGCGGAACGATGCGACCTCCATAACTGCACATCAAGCGGAGCTTCTGCGACCCCGCCGGTGGCACCGCCTGCGGTGTAGGATCATCCCATGGATCGGTGGTGCCGCGGGAGCGCGGCGATGATTCGACAGACTCAGCATAGCCAACGCCGCCCTCAACGTCGGCTTCTACAGACGGAGGTGACGCTGGGGCGGGTGGCGCTGCCGGCGGCCTCACGGGAGGTGCTTTTCCGGCCATCGCCTCTCTCTCTCTCTCTCTCTCTATTCACTCTCTAACTTTGGGGGCGGGGGTTGTTGGCTTTGGGGGGCGGAGGGTTGCAAAAAGTGCCCGCCTGGGGATCTACCGGACACTGTACATGGACTGCTAGTACACGCACGCTATATACGAGGATTAGGACGAAACTGAACTTGACGAAAATACCCCCCTTCCAAGAGAGGAATTTCAGTTTATGCTTACGACTTGCAATGGGCTGTAAGGATATGGGCCAGTCTAATCTTAAAAATTAATGTTGGCAAATTGGCTTTAGATTGTTTTTATATTTCTTGTGAGAAATACAAAGCAATTTGGGATTATGTTTCCGGGAAGATTTTAGATTTTTTTAAAAAATTTAATAAAAATAAAAATGATATTTATATAATATAAATTAAAAAATAATAAAAAGAATGAAAATAAAAATTTTAAAAATAAAAAATAAAAAAAATACTAATATATCGATGTTTATTTGTTTTTGATGAAAAGACATAAACTTGGGCTGTATCGGCATAAAGCGGTTCGAATTGGACCGACACAACCCGAAGCGGACTGCAGTGACATCGCTAGGCTATGCTTCCATTCTGTTTGGGCCAGAATTCTAAAGTCGGTTTAGGCAAAGCGTATCTAACAACATTCCTTAAAATAGGATCTGGACTACAAATTGTGGCACAGAGGGTCAAGCTAGGGCCAATACTCGTGCTCTTATTTTCTTTAATTTTTTTCATTTTTGGCTCGGCATGGCTCAGCCCCAGCATTTTGGGATAAGGGTCGGGCTAGGCCGGGCTAGGCCAAGGTCACCCGACCCTAGCCCGACCGGTTATCACCTCAAGTTATGATCGGCAAAAAGAAGGTTTTGGTAAGGGTAATATTGGAACTATCATTGCACAGCCATTCTTTGTAGTGGCGACTGCCTATTGACGAAATTAGCCCTGCTCTTTTGGGGAAAGTAATTTTGTGTAGATTTCGGGCGCAGCAAAGAAAGGCTTGGACCACTATTGACGAAAATGCCACTGTTCTTTTTAGAAAATCAAGTATAAAATCCCTTTTTTTTTTCCTTAAATTGGAGTAAAATAATATTTTGTTGGGGGTAAGGAATATTTGGCGTGCGGCTTACGGGGGCATGTTGACGAAATCGCCCCTGTGAAATTTGTAAAATGAAGGGGCAGTCCAGGTTATATTTGGTGGGGTGGGGGATGATGGTGTAAAGAAATGAGAGTCGGACGACAGCTAATAAAGCGGGCCCTTATGACTGTACCACACGTGTGATGTGGCCTTAGGTGGGCCCATCCCGAGATGGACGGCCTGGATTTGAGGCCGTTACAAGGAAGTGACTGTATGCTTCCTGTGTGCTGCTCTCGTGGTTTGTGGTTTTGGTGGCGCGTGATTGGCTCTTAACAGCCTTCGTAGGTGTTGGGAAAAAGTTTATATAAGGTGTGAACCTTATACTGTACTAGTAAGGTATACCTAAAATGCCGATTAGAGAAGGTTGTTTCATGCTGAAAAACTTTCAAATCCATTATCTTGACCTCTAGATTCATATACACAAAAAAAAAAGAAATTTTAGTTATAAAAGTAATTTATATTCTAAGACATTACCTGGACTCACTTTCTAGATTTTCAAATGTTTATAGATCTCCTTGATCATCATCATTTCTAGAACTTTAAATTTCATAATTGGGACCAACAATAGATTTTTCATATTATCACGAGGCTTTGTGACACGGAAACTATATTTTCGGTATAGTTTTGATGTGTAACTTATTTCAATAGTATAAGATTGATACCTTATACAAATCTCACCCCATAAAAGAGAGATGGAAGATGGACTTTTCTATTTAAAGCTACATTATGGGCTCACTTAATATTGTAATTTGTCCCTTACTCGCTTAATATTGTAATTTGTCCCTTACTATAGGATATCAGTGCACCAAAATGTAGCCCGAGCAAATACTCGCCCAATTTTGCACGATATTGGCAAGTCTACGTGACACTAGAGTTGTATGAATGTAGAGTGAAAAAGGTACTTATTTTTGTATTTTCAAAGAGATAAAGATAGTAAAAAATTATTGGAAGAGAAAGAAAATTCCAAATAATAAAAGGTGGTTAAAAAAGAAGAGTAAAAAATCCCTTTTAAAGAGTGAATAATAACTATCAATATTGTTCACAGGACAAGTGATTGTCATCCAACAGTTATTACACGTTGGATGACTAAACAATATCAACGGCTAGTATCCTAGCCATTGGAACTTGTACCTGCCATGCTCGCATCCCTTTACGCACATGTGCAGGCATGAGTTACATCACGCTAAAAAGCATCGAGCCCCAAGCCCAACTCATACTCGGTCGAAGGGTACCTCATGCATTGATGCAAGTGTGTGAAGTGCACAGTGTGTCATCAAACACCCTTACACAGGCACGCATGTGTGCATTACACACTTTACTTACTCCGCACAAGTGCCAGCACTTTCTCCTTTGTTCTATGAACAAAAAACATGAGAGAGTTTTTATATTTATACTACTCTTTTCACACCCCACTCTTTAATGGAGGACTAAACCCACTACTATCTCTCTATTTATTTAAAACTTAAAAAAATAATATATACAAGTATATTATTTTGAAATAACTTAAATATATTTTACTTAAAATTGAGATAAGAAAAAAAGGTCTCAACTTTATACTGTTGAAGTGAGTGCACCTCAAAAACCTATCGCAAAAAGTTGCTTTAATGCTGGAGAGCCTTCGAGATGTATTAATATGAAAAAAGAAAAGGATTTCAATCATCAGAGCTTTTTTCCAACTAGTTGGCGTTAACTACATAAAATCTTGGTTCACCATTATGTTCTATTAATGACCATATCTTTAGTTAGTCAATAAGTCAATACCCTATCATAAGTAGATATCATAGAGTCAGAATTCATGAGAAGGTTTTGACAAAGTTTTATATTAGTTGCCTACTTAATACAATCTACCTACTTTACCCAAGCTTGGGACGAGTTAAAAGTAAATTTAAGGTCTTAGCCCTTCTTAGACTATATTTCTAGCCAACGTAATGCATCTTATAACACATTATCTAGATTTTCTATTTCTAAAATTACAAATTGTTTATAGATCTGCCCAATATGTATCATTTTTTTAGCTTTAAATTTTATAATTAAGGCTGAAAATGGATTTTCATGTCATCACAAGGCTTTTCTAAACCAAAAGTGCATTGTTCGAAAAGTATGGTGGTGTGCCTTACTTTGATTATATAGTGCTCACTCCTACATATCACACTATTTACCCGATTACCCACCATCCTCATAGAGCCTCTCTCCTTCTCAAAAACCAGAGGCGCCCAAGAAGCTGGATCTCCCAATCTGTGAACAGAAAATTAAGCTTAGTAGGCTGTTTATTTTGTTCATATCTCTCTCTTGATGTATTTACAATTTGTAGAAATCTATGAACATTTGGGTGGATAGAATCTAGGGAGTCTCCATAAATCAGGCAAATTCTAGATTGTATGAGAGAATCAGGTCGAGAATCGGTCCTATAAGTTGAAAAGCCCAATCCCATCACCGATTTCCCAATGGGATTAGGGTTTTCTCTTATCTTTCTGGTTTTCATCAACCATCCATCCTCTTTCTTATAAGAAAATTGTACACCGATACTTCTTGTCACACGACAAACGGGCCCATACTTGACTCATACAAGGAGTAGTACTATCCCTTCTAGCTCTCTCTCATCATCTTCAAAGCTCTGTTCCAATTAATTGAAGTACATGACTCATATTTCGCTATTCTGCTCTATCAAAAGTCATACCTTCAATAAGATCATAAGTCTTTATATCGTTTCCCACTACTTTCGTCCATATCTATTTGAGCCTTCCTCTTATTTTTTTTAGAGCCTTCCACTTGAACAACCAATATTATATGGAGTCTGTGTTGTATACGGCCATTTTATCTAAGTCTATTTTTCCTCATCTTATTGCTTATTGAAGCTACACTTAAGTTCCCTCATCTTCTATCTCTCTCTAATAAACTAAAGGGAAAAGTTTATATAGAGCCGAGGATCTAAAGTTTATATAGAGCCGAGGATCTAAACAATCAAATTTGAGCCTACTAAAATATTTCATTGGAAGAGGTTGTTTTGATGCCCAAATATCTTCACATTGATCATCTCGACGTCAAAATGCATGGACATGAGAAAAAATGGATTGCAAGATTAGAAAATAGTGTATTTTGTAATGCATTTTTTGACCGTCAATTTTCAAGATATGATAGATATGTTGATCTACACTATTTTTGAAGCTTTGAACTTCATAAATAGATATAAAAATATATTTTAAAGCTATCACAAAAATTTTCAATATTAAAACTGCATTTCTCGATGCTATTTGGAGGCGGGATCTAATTTGTTGTTTAGAGCCTAGGCTCTATACAAACCGCACCCTAAACTAAATATCTACTCTCTAGAGTTTGTGTTTGATTAAGTGATTAATATGCATCTTTTTGGGTTGTTTCATGGGGATGAGTCTCTTACGTGCAGTAAGAATGAAACTGGAAACGTGGCACTGCGCTACCCTAAACACGTAGCCTTGAGCCCATTCCTCTGACTAATATGCATCGGTCCTTCATTGTCGATATAGACACCGGAGTTAAATAGTACGTCCTTGAAAAGTAATACCAACAAAAGTTTTGAGAGTTTCTCACTTTCTAGGATGAGATTTGACTACATATGTTTCCATTTTCTTTTCTCTCCATACCTAAATTCAGCAAAATGCTTATTTCCAAGCTGTTGCTCTCTCTCTCAAGCAGCATCATGCATGAAACAGTAACCGGTGCATAAGATAAAATGGATACAGTTTCTATGTGGCCAGCCTGCATATTATAGAACTGCAGGTTTAGAATAAATATATTTTTTAAAATATAATTTGATTATAATTTTTAGAGAATATATAATTTTTAACATAAAGATCATGAATATGAAATAAAAATAAAAATAAAAACTAAAAATAATAATTATATTAAGAAAATATTTGAACAATTAATTACACTTGTTTTAAGATTGATCGCCTATTTGCATCCATCTTTAAGATGGATACTTTAT